AGAGATTAACGATCTAATCAATTTGAACTCCATTGATGAAAGTTGTGAGTGATTGATTATAGAAATGTATAATACTTATGAGCAACAATTTGGTGATGAGTTTCTTACTTGGAGGAAAATAGAAGAGGCTTCAGAAGAAGTTGATCGAATATGGTCTGTAATATTTAGTCAGGCAAAAAATAGAAGATTTATCTATGATGAGGAGTTTATCTTGACATGTATGTTTCATCTATGATAGAAAGATAAGATGAAATTTATTCACAAGATGATGATGAAGAAGAAAAAGAATAACAATAGTTTGAAAATGGAAAAATTCTACCTAAGGAGGAAGTGATTATGCGAATGAAAGATATGATGAAGATGACTGAATTATTTTAGCTTTTTTTATCAGATTTTAGACTTTATTAGTTTATTTATGCTTTAAAATTTAAATTTTATTTTGATTTTTTATTCAATTCTATTTTTTTTAATTATTACATCAAGCTTTTAAAAATTATACAAAATTTTAATTTTTATGTTTAACTTCAATGTTTGTCTTCAAGTAAAGCATTATGCCACCTTTTTTATATTTTATATCAACTTATAAGTCACACTTTATATTTTATAAGTGCTTATGAATATTATTATATATTAGTGTTTGATATAACATATTAGCACTTTGGTTAACCAAAAGTGTCGCTTCGCTTTACGCTTTACACTCTTGTGCTTTGAAGTAAAAATATAATCTTGAGCATCACATTGTGCTTTGTGCTTCGATAACAATATAAAGAACATTTTAATTGGGTTCACAAAATCCAGCTTAAAAAAAAAGCATGTGGCAAAAAATGTTTAGCATAAGCATTGTTCTTAGATGTTGAAATGTCGTGTATATGTTGAAAAGGATAATTCTAATAAGGATTGATAAAATTTTTTACAACTATGTTCTTTATATTCATGAAAATGAAATGGGATTTTCACATTGAATAGGGATTCTTATTGTAATTTTTCATACATGAGCATTGTCACCTGATATAGGTTTTCTACAGCAATTCATTACAAGGCAACAATTTAAATATAACTATAATCTATGCTAGTGAAATTTAGATAAACTTAAAAACTACAAAATATTACAGTTTCAAACTCTAATTAAGCTTGTTTTGAGACAAAAAAAAGAAAAAAAAAAAGTCTCATTCAAGTCTCGAGAAAATGCTATTATTGGAAGAGATGCTGACTTCAATATATTTTAAGGGGTGGCATTAGAATAAGATGAGTTATATTAGTTGTATCCTACTCTAAAATATGGATTTGACATAAATTATCCTATGGCACAAAACCAACTCTCATAGGCTCGTGTAAGGCTTATTTAGAATAAAATGAGTATAAGCCAAAACATCATTATGGCTATTAGATAAATGAAATTTAATCTCATTAATAAACCTTTCAATATTAGTTTTTCTATTTTGTTATGGAGTTGAATAAAATAAAGAAAGTTGAGTGCTCATGTATCAGCCACTCATTGCATCTTTCACATGAGCAACAAAAATATGGATCAAACTGATTTGTTGTAAGACTAAAGAGCGTATGACTCTTGGCATAATTGAGTCCTAAATTGAAGAAGGACCACATTCTCTTCTCTCAGCCCTCTCCTCAAAGTAGTTTTACATACTAATCATTATTCAACTGATGAACAGGTATGTTGGTATTTATTGGCTCCAACTTTAAAAGGACTTAGGTGCATGGAAAAACATGATTTTCATGGCATAAACTTTATTTGTTGATGTTGTGGTTTCTTGTGTAGGTTCAAAAAGTTTATTCTAACAAATACGGACAAAGTATATGTTGTTACGTTATCTATAATAATGAGAAAGTGAAGGGATGTATGCAATAGTTAGAGATTTTCACTGCATTTTTATAAAATAACAAACCTAAATAAACTCATTATAAAGCAAAGTGTTGCTTTGATTAAGCTCTACTTGTTACAATTTAAGTAAACAAAACTAATTCACAAGTCGACTATTATAAACTCATATAAATGTCTTAAACCAATCAAACTAAAAAAAGGAAATGTCACAATTCAAATTTCCAAAAAACAAATACTTTAATTGAAAGAGGGTCAGGTACTTCCAACATAGTTCAAGATCATTGAAATAGGTCGAGTCCTATTGGTTTCATCTCCTCCAAGCTATGAATTTGACATGCCGCAACCTATGGCACCAATCTAATTTTAATAGGCTCATTAAAGTCCTTTTAGACCACTAAATTAACTTAAGCCACAATTTTGGGTAAACATACTTTAATTTCATTAATGTGATAAATCTTCTAGGGCTAGACTTTTTATCAAGCTATGGTGTCATATGAAATGTATCAAGCTAAGTATGCCTAAGGAATGTTCCCACAAAGTGCTCATAAATGGTCCGCTCATTGAGATTTCATAATGAGGAGCAACAATGGGTTGAGTTTTTCGAAATTCCAGATTGTTTAAAGGGTTTATAATTTGAAACAATAAATAAATAAAAAAATACCAACAACGCACAAATAAATTCAAGAGAAGATTATAAAAATGAAAAAAATGAAATGGTAAGATGCTAAAGAAAAAAACGTCTCCTAAGCTATAATTTTTGTATCCCACACACTAAATCAGAGTTACATTACCTTCTTCATGAAGGCAATCCATATGGCCATGAGTTCTAAAAACACTAACAAAAAATGGCCACAAAGATCCTGCCCTCTAAGTTTTCTTAAAATGCTCATGGTGAGGGTTAAGAAACACACCAGCTTCATTTTTCTCAAAACTCTAGAGAGATCCTTCTGTCATTCTATTAGCACTTTAAATGGTGATTCAAATGCATACAACAAGATTAACATACAAATCTTTCCGACTAGGAATAGGGAAGTCGACATATGAGACCAAAATCATCATTGAAAATGAATGCATAGGAGGCACAATGGCCATGCCTTCATGGTAGACAAGCCCAAGGTAGCCCACAAAACCTAATGGAGTTATTACATAGCTGGCACTTAAAACTTTATATTCAACATTCTTAACACCTAAACTCTAATATTTCATAATAACACAGCCAAAACACCCCGTCACTACATAATTGCCATTCTTCTTTACGCCTTAACAAGTTATGACTGCCTCTGTCTTCTGCCCTGTCCGTTGCCATTAATGTTGTCCCCTTCCTCTATCTTCCGCCCCATTATCATCTCTATCTTTGCATATTTTAACAGGGACGGGTATCTTTTTCCCGTTTCCGAGTTGAAGAAGAAAGCCAAGGCTTTCCGAATTATTTCTTTTGGGAGCACAAATTTTTTTTTTCTTCTCTCTCTCTCTCTCAAACTATTGCTTATTCTTCATCTTCATCATTTTATTCATCTTCTTTTTCTTCCTTGGCGACGAGCCAACTCCTACTTAGTCCAGATTGGATGATGAACATGGATATCTACAACTTCATTAAATATGATACCTAGTGACTAGTGAGTATTTGTTCTTGTTTGGAAATTGGAATCGTTTTCTTTGAATGGGAATCTAAAATTTGTATTGCTTAACCAGTCCTTTCAGCCGGAAAAGGTCTATGATTTTGATGGCTTTGGACCCACTTTTTTCCTTTTGGTTGCGCTCTAGGGTAGCAGTTATGGGTTATTGTTTTAGTGGTAAAGAGGGCTTAAGAATTTCCAATTAGTTGCAAATGCTCTGTTTCTTTATTGTTTTCATGATCATCTTCCACTTTTTATCTTGCATGGGGGATTTAAGCTGGCCTAATTTTGAATCTAGTATACATTCAAGATGGAAATGGAATAGAGATCAGACAAGCGAACTGGTAAGATCAGCGAACTGGTAAGATCATGACAGAGAGTTGTTATAAAATGTTTTGGTTGGTTAGCATGTAAAAATTAAAGTTTAGGTGTTACGGATATAAAATATAAAATTCTAAGTGGCAAGTATGTGAAAACCCCTTGCTTAAAATGAAGTAATTTTAAGAATCGTTTAGCTCTTCAACTATGCCCAAAATAGAAGAAGAATATAATTTAATCTCATCTTCCTTTCTCTTATCTCACCTCCTCAAGGTAGTTTAGCCTGTCATTCGTATTAAAGTCAAAAAATGCTGATTTTGGGTGTTCACAAGCTCCATCTTAGAAAGAATGTTCATGAATGGCTCAAATTTTCTATCTTCAGTTTGGGTTGTTGATGTTCTATTCCGTGTAGCATGAAAAGTTGATTCTAACAAAGTTGAACAAAGTGCTATGCAAATGTGTTCTTTTTAATCGAGGAAATGAGAGGGAATGTATGCATTGTTTAGGAATTTCCATTGTACTTATTCCTAAATGAACATTGTAGGTCTTCTTAATGACAAAACAAATTTGTCATTAAAAGACAGCCTTAGTAAAGTTGAGCATGATACTAGTGCAATTTAGGTAAACCAATAGAAAATTTGGCTACTGCAAACTCTTATTAGTCTTGTTTTAATTTAATATTCGAAAGATAGAGGAAATTGTGTCTCATGTCAAGTTTATTAAAAATACTTATAGGAAGAGGAGATGCTTCCAAGTTCCAACCAATATGATACCAAATAATATTTTTAGCATATACCATACAATGGCACAAAACTAATTCTAATAGGATCTGAAAACATTCACTTGAGCAAAACATTAGCTTAGACTATGATTTAAGCTACAGCTTTTGGAGAAAATGAACTTTAATCTACTGATGCAATGAATAATCCAAAACCAGACTTCTTATTATATTATGTAGCCGGAGGATATGTACCATGCTACACGTATCTAATAAATGTTCATGCAAAGTGCTTAAAAATGGTTCGCTCATTGCAGTTTTTCAGAGGCATTCGATTCCGTTTTTCAAATACCAGACATTCAAGAGATCCCTATTCATCATATAAGGAGTTTACAATTTTAAAACGGGGAAGGGATAGATGCTCAAATGATCTAGGGAAAAAAATGAGGGCGTGTCGCCAAAGCTATAGTTTTGCTTCACTCACACTACATCTAAGATATATCCTTACCTTCTTAACGGAGGCAGACCAGGAGAGCGTGAGTCCAAGAAACACGATAAAGAAGAACGGCCCCCATAGATCCCAATCTCTTAAAGCTTTTCCAGGATCCTCACGATATGGGTTAGGGAACACCACCAGCTTCAGATTGCTCACAATTCTAGACAGATCTCTCTTCACAGTGTCCCAAACAGGCTCAGTAAGCGTGTTCGGTGGTGACCCAAAGGCATCAGAGGAGATCCCCTGGCGCAAGTCTCCTCCGCTGGGAACCGAAAAGTCGGCAGATGTGACCGGAAGGACTGCCGGAACCGGCTGCTTTGAAGGCGCAGAGGCCGTTGCCTTCTGATAGGACGGCGGGTTAATATTCGAATTGATGAAAGGGGAGGAGGAAACGGGTATTGAGGCGCGCGGAGGACTTGGCGGCCGTGCCGGAAGGACAGTAGCTGGGCCGGATTGAACGCTATCGTATATGAGGTTCTCGATCTCGTCGATATCCGACTGGGAGGAGGGGTGGAGGGGAATAGTGTCTCCGTGAGACATTTAAACGTCGGCGTACAGGAGCGGCCGGCGACAAGAATAGACTTGCGATCTGAGAGGATGAAGATCGACTCTTTCAGAACCTAGGGTAGACGCAGGGCCCAAACTCCAAGGAAGATGAACGAATTTTATGTGTATAGCTGCCCATACAAATCATTTTCTATTACAAATGAGGCTTTGGATGAAGTTATTTCTTTTTTTACTGATGGAAGAGGAATTTAGAAGGTAAAGAATGGTGTTAAAGTAAACTTTCCTCTTTCTATGTTAAATGTAGTATCTAAGGTCTGACATGCTCACAATGATGATCTGATAAGACAAAAGTTTGAATATGATGCTGCTTATGATGATGCAAGGGTCAGATACATGAGGGGTGATCACTCAATTCAGTTTTTGACTCACTCTGTTTTTACCCCATCTCAGCAGCAAAAGTTGGATGTGGAAGAAGAAGAAGAAGATGGATATGTGTGTTAGATTTTTGTTTATTTTTATGTTTAGTTGTACTTTATTGTTGAGACTATTTGTTTGTGGACTGTGATACTTCATTTTAAATGTTATGCTGTGTTTTCAACTGTAGATTTATGAAACTGCTGGAAGTTATTAGTTGCTGGAAGTTACTGGAAGTTATTAGTTTTTAGTATTTTGTTGGATGTATTTGTAGTTAACTCTTTCTCAGCAAATTTTTATATGTATTATGTGTTATTTAATGTTTTAGGTCTTGTTGCTTTTCATATTAGCACCTTCAATATTTTAGAGTTAAGTTTCAAATAAGAACCTTCAACAAGTATGTCTTTTCTTTATGCATTAAATGTTTTCTTTCACCCTTTATTTTTTTATTTTTCATGCAAAATCTTTTAAAATTGTAAGTTTTGGGGGGGGGGATGAAAAATTCCTTTTTTTTATAGAAAAGAAACTTAATTTTTATTGTCCTCAATTAGTTGTATTTTCAAAATATTTCAAAAAATTTAACACGACCTTTGGTATTAAATGGTAACTTTAGATAACTATATCTATGTTTCTAAATATATAATAAACTTAAGTAAAAATTTTTAAATAATAATTGTTAATTTTAGAGATTAAGATATTTGGTATGATTGAATAAGATTATGTTTTTCTATTTTAAATAAAGGAATTTGTATTTTTTACGTATTAAAAATCTTAGAGATTCATGTAAGAAGAAAATATTAAAACATTATGAAAAATATTTAAAGCTAATATAAATTTATAAAGTGAAGGAATGTGAAAGGAATGTGAAAAGTTATGTGAAAAGTTTTTAACTTTAAAAAGAGGTTAATGAAGTTCAAAATCATTAAAGGTTATCCAGATATAGTATTTCTCACATAAAAAAAGAAAGAAAAAGAAAAAAAGAAAAAAAAGAAAAAGGATTGAAAATGATCCTGAAAAGAAAAAGAAAAGAAAAGAAGAAAGATGTGAGGAGAAGCTTGAAAAGATGCCTAATTAGAAATTGACTTCACTTAAATCAACTTAAAGAAGAAGGCTTGGCTACATTTTCTAAACTTATATTTAAGTATTAGCATATTTATTAGTAAAGTTTCATAAAGTTCTTTTTCATATGGATACTCTCAGTGGCTTTGATATGAAGAATTTGCAATTTTCCTTGAAAAGAATCGAGAATAAAAAATGAGAAGATTGATAAATTTATCTTTCCTATAGATTTTATTGTATTAGATATGAAGGAAGATAAAGAAATTCCTATCATTTTAGGAAGACCATTCATAGCCACTAGAAGAGCTTTGATAGATGTGCAGAAAGGAGAACTAATTATGAGAGTTAATGATCAAGAGGTTACATTTAATATTGCAAAATCAATGAGATACCCTACAAAAATGCAAGAGATTGAATGCTTCAAAATGAATATTAATGAATATTTTAAGAAAACTTTTGAAAGAGAATTTAAAAAGGAATATATCAAATATTAAGAAGAGGCTAAAATTGAAGATGAATCTATGGATGTGAGTAAAGAGGATTTGGATTATGTTCAGGAAAAATATGAAAATGTTTGATCCTACAGAAAGTAATAAGAATTTGTTTTCATCTATTGAGAAACCTCCTGAACTAGAACTAAAAACGATTCCTACACATTTGAAGTAAGCATTCTTAGGAGATTTATCTATATTTTCTGTTATAGTATCCTCAAAATTAATTGATATGTAAGAACAACAGTTGTTGGAAACTTTGAAAAGATATAAAAAAGCATAAGCAGATATAAAAGGAATTAGACCTTCAGTTTGTATGCATAGAATTTTATTAGAAGATCAACATAAACTAAGAATTGATCCTCAAAGGATATTGAATCCTATGCTGAAAGAAGTGGTAAAGAAAGAAATTATAAAATGATTAGATGTTAGAATAATATATCCTATTTCAGACAGTGCTTGGGTTAGTCCAATTCACTGTGTTTCAAAGAAAGGAGGTGTGACTGTAGTGACAAATGAGCATAATGAATTAATATCAACAAGACAAGTCACTGGTTGGAGAATCTGCATAGATTATTAAAAATTAAAATTCTGCCATCAGGAAGGATCATTTTCCTTTACCTTTTTGGACCAGATGTTGGATAGATTAGCTGGGCATAAATATTTTTATTATCTAGATGGATATACCGGTTATCATCAAATACCTATTGCTCTAGAGGATCAAGAGAAAACAACATTTACTATTCCTTATGAAACTTTTTCTTTTCGGTGAGTGTTCTTTAAATTATGTAAAGCACCTGCAACATTTCAAAGATGTATGATGTCAATTTTCAATTCTTTGATCCAAAAAGTGATTGAAGTCTTTATGGATGATTTTTTTGTATTTGGAACTTCATTTGAAATATGTCTAAATCATTTAGAAAAAGTTTTGGAACATTGTGAAAGACTAATCTCGCATTGAACTAGGAAAAAAGTCAATTTATGGTTGCAGGAGGAATTGTGCTTGGACATAAAATTTCAGAAAATTGTATGGAAGTAGAGCCTGCAAAAATACATGTTATATCAAACCTACCTCCACCTAACCTACCTCCACCTAACCATGTTATATCAAACCTACCTCCACCTAACACAGTAAGAGGAGTTAGGAGTTTTTTAGGACATGCTGGATTTTACAGTAGATATATTAAAGACTTTTAAAAAATTAATAAACCTTTATCCCAACTTCTGAAAAAAGATACAAAATTTGACTTTAATCAAGATTGCCTTAAAGCCTTTGAAACCTTACTTTGAAACCGAAACCTTAAAGGAAAAATTGATCACTGCTCTTATAATTATTTCACCTGATTAGGAGAAACCTTTTGAATTAATGTGTGATGCTAGTGATTGAATTAATGTGCGATTGGAACTTTAATATGACAAAGATATGATAAGATTTTTAAAGTTATATACTATGCTAGTAAGACTCTTAATGATGCTCAGATTTATTACACCACCACTGAAAAGAAAGTTATTAGCTATTGTGTATGCTTTTGATAAGTTTAGATCATACCTGATTGGAGCTAAATGTGTTGTGCATACTGATCATTCACCTATTAAATTATTGATGCAAAAGAAGTATGCTAAACCAAGATCAATTAGATGGGTACTTCTTATGCAAGAGTTTTATAGAGTTTTGGTACTTCTTATGCAAGAGTTTAATTTTGTAATAGTCGATAGGAAAGGGACTGATAATCAAATTGCTAATTATCTATCTAGGTTAGAACAAGAAGAATGGAGAGATTTGGAGAGAGAAATTAATGAAACTTTTCCTGATGAATAACTTTATGCTGTAAAAGGATGGGAAATGCCGTGGTATGTTGATGTTATAAATTATTTTGTTAGTGGTATTTACCATATAGATTAACAAAACAACATGAAAAGAAATTCATTTATGATGCAAAATCATATTTTTGGGATGATCCTTATTTATATAAATAATGTAAAGATTTAGTAATGAGACTATGTCTACCTTATAAAGAAATTTAGGAAATTATTAAAAAATGTCATGAATCTAAATTTGGAGGTCATTTTGGGAATGACAGAATTGCTCATAAAATTTTACAATCTGGATTTTATTGGCTTACTCTATTTAGAGATGTTAATATATATATCAAAACATGTGATCGGTGTTAGAGAGTTAGGTAATATTTTAAAAAGAAATGAAATGCCTCTAAATATAAATTTGGAAATTTAAAATTTTGATGCAAGGGGATTGGATTTTATGGGACCAGTTATACCCTCATTCAAAAATATTTATATATTGATTGCAGTGGATTACATTTCAAAATGGATTGAAGCAATTGCTTTACCTTGATGTGATGCTCAGATGCTCAGAGTGAATGCTCAGAGTGATTCAAAATTTTTAATTAAAAATAATTTTACAAGATATGAAATGCCGAGTGTAATTATTACCAATGGAGGATCTCATTTTAGGAGTGCAACAATTGCAAGATTGGTACAAAAAAATATAATATAATGCATAAAATTGCAACTGCTTATCATCCCTAGACTAGTGGTTTAGCAGAAGTGCCTAATCATTAATTTAAGAGAATTTTGTAGAAGAGTGTTAATCCTAAGAAAATGAATCAGACTACTAGATTAGATACTGCAATATGGGCATATAGGACAACCTATAAGACACCTATAGGAATGTACCCTTATAGATTATTTTTTGGGAAGACTTGTCACTTATGTGTTGAATTGGAGCATAAAGCTTATTGGGCAATAAAAGAATTCAATTTTAATTTGAAAGAAGCTGGTGAGAAAAGATTATTGCAATTGAATGAGCTTGAAAAAATTGGGAATGAATCTTAGGATAATTTGAGAATTTATGAAGAAAACATGAAAGAATGGCATGATCAGAAGATAATAAAAAGAGAATTTGAACTTGGACATGAATTTTTTTTATACAATACAAGATTGAAATTATTTCCTTGAAAATTGAAGTCTCGGTGGAAAGGGCCATTCAGAGTTATGAAAGTCTATCCCTATGGGGCAGTTAATATTGAAGACCTTAAGACTGGAAGAATATTTAACATGAATGGGTATAGATTGAAATCATATTTTGATGGTCAAAGACTAGCTTTTAAAGAGATTGTAATGTTGGGTCACTCAAAATAAGACCAGGAATGTCGGGTTGACGACATTAAACCATGTGCTTTGTGGGAGGCAAC